CACATAACAAGAGACTTACGTGGCCCAAACATCTTAGCTCAAGACTTCCTTGCTTGTATCCCAATGTCACAAGACTTTTATCTAAATTGCTGAACAAGCTCAGCAGAATAGAGAACAAGGTGTACATGATACATGTATCAAAGGTACAGGAAATCACCATAACAAAGACCTAAGTCTCTTAATATTTCTAAGATATACAATGTGTAAGAAATCTTAAGGCTTTTACAATTACAACCTACATCAGAAAAATTTACATATACATTGAGTTGATAATTATTGATCTTGTTACTCCTTCTTCTGGTTGATCCTTGTTAAAGATTCAATTTGAAACTTTAGCCATATTTATAGCCTTTTTAGAAACTAGTCGTTGATGAGGTAACTTGATCAAGAATCTTTGTTGTTACTCCATAGTACAAAAGTCGTTGAAGATAGATACACAAGAAGATCTTAATCCAATGTGTAACATGTTTAACCTTTGTGTCTTCAAGAGATTATGTATTATTACATCCGTTGAGAGTAGATATCCATAAAGAATCTTAACCTTTCTTGAGTTTTGCAATCTTGTAGATTGTAGCTGACAAGCTAATTTCGCAATACAACTTACTTTCTGCAGTACAGACAACTTCACCTTTATTCTCTAGACATCACTTAGCAAGTGTTCTTTAGATTCTGCCACCAGAAGCTAGCAATGCAGCAACTCTCAAAGTGTACTTAATGTAGAACGGATTCTGATAATAATACTTACAAGTATAAGAACCTGCACACATATAACATATATCAAATAAACTATTGTTCTTTCAATACTTTGTTATCATCAAAACCCAAGGAAAATATGTCATGAACACATCTTGTTCTAACAGAGTCAAGTAATAGTATCTCATTGCATCATAATTTGGTGTTAGCATATTGCGGTGTGGATTGTGAATTATTAAAGTTTGATTTGTGATAATTAATTATGATACTACTCCTTAGCATGTTTTAACACCGATTATTATTTGAATATGTATCTCGCCCCTTTTGTGTTTGTGTGTCTGTGCTCTTCGAAATATAGATAAGCAGATATCTGAGTAATTGGAGAAGCACCACTATGTTGATATCGGTCGGGTCTATTAGAAGAGACGTTCTGATACGTAACACTAAGAGTTGGGGTTGTTTTTAATTATGTTTGTGTTACGTACCTTTTATTGTTTTAAGTTTTTGTTTGGACCACAAGTGGTGTGGATAACCTTTTTGAGGCCTTGGTGCCATTAAAATTGTTTTTCGTAGCATTGAAAATTATGTTTTTATATATGTATGAGATGATTTTTTGGACTTCATATTTGGGGGATGTAACATCCTAATTACATTATTTTTTTTAATAATTATTGTAATGGAAAATAGGGTGTTACACAATCAACTATATATCAATTAATAAAAGATACATAAAAACTACGCCCTTCACTTTAAAACTATTTACACTTACAAAAGGTTAAAATAGTAAAATAGTAATCTTCCAATTAATTCACCCTGCTTCAACCACATGTTGTCGGATGTCAAGTTCTTATTTGACACTTTTTCAACTTTCAATTTTCTCTCAATTTCCTACTCCTTCACTCACCATCTCATTCTTCTTTCAAATTATATTCATTTTTCTTTTATATTTCATTCTCTTTTCATTTTATTATTTTATTTTTTTCTACCCTTCTCATAGTTACTAATTTATTTTTGTTTTTCATATTCAATCAATTTTATTTATTTATAATTACTAAAAATACTAATTAATCTATTTTTAAGTTTTAATAAAATTAAAATTTTATTTTATTAAATTGGATAATACTCAATTGGCATGCACACAACTAACTTTCCATGTCATGGATTATTATCAACAAAATATCAATTTTATTTTAATTAATTGAAGACACAACATTTTTATGTTTAAATGTCAAAATTTTCTCTTTTTTCTCACAAGTCACTATCAGTAAAATACTTATTTTATTTTAATTAGTATTTTCCGTTATTTGAGACACAAAATTCTTATTTTTAAATTTTTAAATTTCACTTTTTCTCACAACGAAATATCTGTTTTATTATAATTAACAATTATCTTTATTTGAGATACAAAATTGTTATTTTCAATTTTTTATTATTATTTTCTTTCTCCATTTCATGGGTCATTTTTTATGATTATTAAATACAATTGAGTATATATTACTAGTTTCCTACAAAATAACAGCAAGGTCAAAAGTAGGGTTTTAAAAAATAGTTGTGGTCACGTCGCGATCGCGTAAAGGCTTTCGCGATTTCGATTGATACAGATGTCGCGACACTAGATTGTCACGGTGTGAATTAACTACTATTTATTTATTTATTTATTATTTAATATAAAAACTATGATAATTATAATAATATTGACACTTATCGAAACTGTTTTGTCAAGGCCGTTTTCGTAGTTACGAACTGTATTTTGAAAACCTAGTCAAAAATATCTCTAATCTACTTAAAAAACTGCTTTCATAGAGATCTATGATAAGAACAAGGAGGGGGAAAGAGGCTTGACCAAAACCTAAGTAATAGATAATCTTGTAGAGGGTAGTGGTGGGAGTTTCAATTTTTAATTATATAAAAAACAATAATATAAAAAAGATTATGATAAAATTCGTAATATATTGCGATTAATTCTTCCCCTCAATTGTAATCAATATTGTAATGGTTATAATTGTAAAATTTGTTGAAAAATATTCTTGGATCTAACTCATCCTATAAAATCAGTTAGTAGGGTGAAGATTGCTTCTACTTATACATATTCAAGTTATATATTGTCCGATGTAGAATTTTTATCACACTCTTTCATATTTGAGACTAGACATCTGAAACTTGAAAATAAATAATAGGTGACTCGATAACATAAACCTGCTAGCAGGAGACCCACTAAATCTTAAAAATCTTCTTGATACTATGTGAAAAAATATTGTTGGATCTAAAACCGGCTAATAGAATGAAGATTCCCTTGTTTATAAACCATATATTATCCAATAGAACTCATAATAAAATTATTTAACATGATTGCAATCTAGTTCTAGCAGGTGTTATAAGTAAAATTTATTATATAAGAAAGTTTGCGAAGTTATTGAGTGAAGCATGATGAACAAAAGTTGAATCCATAAAATGACCAAAGATTTTTAGCATGAATTGAATGAATAATTTGCTTGGTTGAGATCTCTGCTGGGCCGTAACCATGCATCACACACAACTAGATTTTGTCTTGGTTCCTGTCAGATTGTAAATTAAAAGCTCTTGTTCCCGATGCAGTTTCGCAGGCCCAAATCCCCATGAAACCCATCATCTCTAAGGCACACCATTACAACCCATAAGGCCAAGTTTTGGTGAAGCAAAAGTAAAGCATGATGCAATAGTAGTGGTGGCATTACCATAGTGGGAAATCTCATGCAATCATTTTCTTTAGTTTAGCGTGTAAGACAATGCATCCCAAAGACAAATGAGTGCGACAACAACAAAAGTACACACATACATACATCTGTTAAAAATTCAGCAGACACTTTTGCATGTCAATGGATGCATGCGTGTAATTGCTTGGAGACAGAGACAGAGATGCATTAATATCAAAAAGTTACCTCTAAAGCATACTGCGTCTGCAGACTGTTTTCTGTTTTGTTAGGTAGCAAAAGCAATATGCAGAGAGTTGCAGAAGCTTTACACAAAACATGTACAATTAACAACCAAATTTGAGTTTTTTACACTAATGTCATGGTTTGAAAAAAAAGTACCAAATTGCCACGGTGTGATAAAAAATTGCAGAAATGCCACAATTTTAGGTTGAGTTTGTCCATTCAAAAGACAAACCAATGAAGGGTCGATTTGACGGGTCTGCCACGTTCGGACATTTTTTTTGCATATGACTAATTTCTCGACAAATACCACATCTTCTCTTTTCTTTCTCAAAATCGACCCGTCTAAATTATTTTTTTTGTTTTTCAAATTATTTCTTAAGTTGCAAAGTGTAATATATAAGTTATTAATATGTTAAATTATGTAGTCAATTTTTAATATTTAAATGATAATGTCTATTATTTTATATAATTTTATTAGTTAAATAATTAATTAAATAATGTGAAAAATATTTAATAATATTAAAAATTTATTTAAATTAATTAAATTATTTATTTATTAATATTTTAAATTATATAAAAGAATTTAATATATAAAAAATAATTAAAACATAAAATAATAATATATATAATATTTTTATTTCTAAAATAAAAAAAAACAAAAAAAAAAAATACACGTAGTACAGGGTCGGCCTTTGGATGATCGAACCCCAACTACACAAAAATGCCCTTCATTGGTTCGTCATTTGAATGGACGAACCCAACCTAGAATTGTGGCTGCAATTTTTTTCACACAGTCGCAATTTGGTACTTTTTTTTTTCAAACCATGACATTGGTGTAAAAACTCACCAAAATTCCTTACAGTATAGATTAGATATTAAGCTATTGCATCGTTGCTTTAATAGCTAGTAAAAATTAATCGGATAAGATGCTACCTGCTTAAGAATGGTAGGTGTGACAATATCTCAAATGTGATTCCGGATAGAACAAACAACTAGTAATTTTTGAGTTTTTCACACACGTGTCACTATTTGAAATTAAAAATATCAATATGTCACTATTTAAAAAACATGTTCAAAATGTCACGTTTTTAGTTTTGGTTCGTCCTTCCAATGGACGATCCATTGAAGAGAAAAAAAGACAGTTGGGATTCGGCCGATGGATGGCCGACCCTATGCTACGGTTTTTTTTATTTTATTATTATTTTAAAAAGAAATATATAATATTTATTATTATTTTATATGTTAAATTTTTTTTTAAATATTAAAATTTATTATATAATTTAAAATATTAATAAATAAATAATTTAATTAATTTTATAATATTATTAAATATTTTTTACATTATCTAATTAATTATTTAACTAATTAAATTATATAAAATAATAGACATTATCATTTAAATATTAAAAACTCACTACATAATTTGAAAAACAAATAAAATAATTTAGACGGGTCTGCCACGTTCGGACATTTTCTACGCATATGACCAATTTCTCGACATATTCCACATCTTCTCTTTTCTTTCTCAAGATCGTCCATTTCAGTTCTAATTCTTGTACTATTTGGACGCCCTTTCTTGTTCCTTCGCATTGTCTCGTCATGGCAAAGAGTGAATCCTTCATATGTTGGCCAATTTTGCTGGTGTGGAAGTCCAAGGAAGCTTTTGTTGTAGACTTTGAATACACTCAGAACCTTGAAAACATCTAGTATGTGCATGTTATGGTCCTGTCGTATACTGGCACATGCTACGATTACATGTGAGCAAGGTAAATGAAATGCCTGAAACCTCCCACAATCGCACCACCCCCTCCTGAGATCATCGCTAAAAGTACCTAATGGTCGGCCATCGCGTTGATTAATGCTTTCGGCAACCATAAAACAGAATCTCTCGCGATCAAATTGAATGACATTATGGCTGCTAGATTTACTCGCTTCATCGGTCATTCCCTTCTTACAGTTTCCGTGAAAGTTTGACCGAATGCCAATAGTTGTATCCAATCGTGTCCTCATTTTCCAAATAGCGATCCCAGACGATAGAACGTTAACTTGACCAATGCTGTAACAGGAAGGTTTCGGGTAGCCTTAAGTACCGAGTTCATAGCTTCGGCGAAATTTGTTGTCATGTGTCCTCACCGTTGTCCTCCGTCGAACGCTCTCGACCACTTCTCTCTAGAAATATTGTCTATCCACTCCAAAGCTGCTCTATTTGTTCTTCGTATTTCGCCCCTGTAGTAGTTAAATGTTGTCTTCGTTAGTGTATATCCTGTAGATGAAAATGTTTAAACAAAATGTTCAGTAAAACATATGAAAATCAATAAGTCAATAAATAAAAATTGAAACATCAACTCGTGAAGATGTAGACATACCCATGTTGACAACTGTTTGTTGCACCCTAAAATTTGCTCAACCTACTTCACTTGGTTTATGTTTCAATTGCATTGTCATTTGTATAAAAAGTCATGTACATAGTCTAATCATTTGCATAGCATAGCATAACAAGTCATCTGACAAGGGATCAAGTGCTATTTTTCATCTCAAGGAATGTATTCAAGAGGCTCTTATCAAGATTCAAGCCTATTCAAATCACCAAGAAAGAAATTGAAGCTTTGAGAAGTTTAAAGGCCAAGCAGTGGGTTTCTCTCCTATCTTGAGGGTATGTGAAGATCATCAGAGAAGTTATGGGTATGAATTGAGGGCATGGAAGACCTAGAGGGTCCTTTTGAAAGTAAGACAAGTCATTGGTGTGATTGCAAGAGCTACAGTTGAAGACAGTCAACTAGGGTGTCATCTGGGTCAACTCTGGGTCAACCCTAAGTCAAATGCTTGATTGAAGGGCACCAAGGCCTATTTGGAGGATGTGGGATTCATCATTTGATATGTGGAAATGGATTTGGTGTTGTGCCAAGAAGAAATCAAAAGAAATCAAAAAGAAGAGAAGTTTCGAAATTAGGGTTTCTGTGTAAAATCCCCTGGTTTAGGTCAAACTTCCAAGCAAAGTAATTCAAAATGCAAGTCTCAAATGGATCATTGGCCAACATGAAACTTGTAGAGTATCTCAAGACCTTTAATTTTAGTGGTGGAAGGCATCAAGGAGATTTATAGAACTCAAGTTATGGTTCTTGCAAGTTACAGGTCCTCAGAGGCATCTGAAAATTTGTCTGTGAAAGTTACTTGACTTCCAAGCAACTTTTTCCCCTCAAGGAGTTTTCAATTGGATTTTTGGCCAACATGAAAGTTGTTCCCCATGATCTTAGCTTTCTAGAAAGGTATGGTATTCCTCAATCTGATTTGTGGAGCTCTACTTATGATCTTGACAAGCCAAGGGCATTTTGGTCATTTGGAGGTTATAAGTCATTTCAAGCATAAGGCCATATCTCCTACTTCCAAGCTTCAAATGGAAAAATATTCAACATAAAAGTTGCTTAGAATTATGTTTTAAGGTTATTAGGGAGGTCATGAGATGTTGAAAAGGCTCATATCAAAAAGTGATAAAAATGGCCTAAAAATGAGGCATAAGTTAATTCAAGTGAAGTTGAAAATCATAAATCATAAGCTACAAGTCCAAACCATGTCATGCAATAGGTCATTTTGACTCCAAATGACATTCTAAGAACAATGGTTCAGCCATAATTTTTATTTGAGGCTTGCATCATAGGGTTGCTTTGGAAAAGTCTTGCTTGCATAATAAGGTACCATGGCAAAACTCAAAATAACTCAATAAACAAGGGAGATGTGCATTGTATCTCATCCAAAATATCATGTAAGGAGAAATTCAATTCAGTTACCAAGATTACAAGGCATATTGCATGAGATACCATATAAGGAGAAGTGAAAATGTAAAATACCATTGGATGAAAAGATCAAATTCTCATGGGAAGATCCTAGATGATTCTAGAGGGTTCTAGACTGGTCTAATCCATTCTATATAATCATTGTGACTTGCATTGAGGCAAGGTTGGTGTTGATTGTGGTAGAGAAGAGAGTGTGAAATCATAAAGCTTCATTTGCAAATTACATTGAATCTCTTGATTCTTCTTCATTGCTATCTCATTTTTCTTCACAAATCTTCTCCATTGATATTTCTGATTGTGTTCATGCTGAGTTGAAGCTCCATTGATGGAGAATTGAAGGTTTTCACATTGAAATTGCAAGGAAGCAAATTACATTGGATCTCGAAGTACAAGCAATTCCAGCCATTCCTTTTGCAAACAGAAGAAGATTCAGCCTCCAAGGAGTATTCTTGAAGAGTTACAAGGCCTGCATTGAAGAGTTTCATCACCTACCATATCCAAGAACCAGGTTTGCAATTTATGTCCTACACCATAATCTAGGCATGGCTAGGGTTAATTATTAGCATAGACTTGTTAGAGACAATTAGGTGACCAATTTTGATGAGTTTGGGAGCAATTGGTGGAGTTCCATTCATGGAGGTCAATTCTTGGATGAGCTAGAACATGCTATATAATGAGTGTTAATGCAAGATGATTGGCTGATTTTAATTAGTGTAGCATAAGGACCATTTTGATATAAAGAAAGTTAAGTTTGGTTGAGGTCGAAAGTTGATGGTATTTTGATATCCATGGAGTTTCCCATTCGGTTTGGGTGATAGAGACTGTTTTAATGAAAACTAATGCCCTAGTCGTGTTCATGGGGAAATTCTGAGCAAGATTGGTTTTTACACTTTGGAATTTGATGGAGAAATGAGTGCATACGATAGGGAGGAAGTTGTTGCATGAAAACTGTATTTTAATGGAGGTTTTGCAGAAACCCTAACCCAAGGTTAGGGATGACTTTTCTACCGTTAGATCGCGCGTGACCTGTTGACCAAAGAAGAGATCCAACGGCGTGGATTTAATTCAAAAATGAGAGGGAATCAGCAAGCAGCGAAACGCTACGTTCCACTTAAGTGGGAATTCTGGGCTTTGAGTGATTTTCCTATCCAAACCCCCCTATCAGGCCCACTTCGTATTTGAACTGAGATCCCTTGCTTTCTGCACCGCTAGCTTTCCCATTTCTTTTATGTTTTCTATTGGTTTTCTGATTTTAAATGGGCCCAAGCGCTTTTCTATACGCACCTCCCAGTTAAGCCCAAGCGTGGATTATAACTGTATCATATTACTTCTTGCACCCCATGATCCATTCTCATATTATATTTTACTCCATTTTATTTCAATTTTAGAAAATGCATATCAAATTGAAAAAAGAATATTTTTTAATGGGAGTTTTTTCTCCCTTTTCACATTTTTGTCACGAAAACTATAAAATCATAAAATTTCCATTTTATTTCATTTTTATATTTTTTTGCATATTTTCTTCTTTTATTGCTTTTTAATTCTTTTTAGTTGATACCTTAATTTGTAGATTTTAGTTTAGGTAGTTGCCTTTAGATTTTTAGGTCAATCTTTTTAGGGTAATTAGATATATGTTTTAGGTTCCCCCTGGATTAATTCCATATTTTTGTGATAATGTTTAGGATAGTTTTGATTAGATGCTATTAGATTGTATAAAATTAGGTTAAACCACAACTTAGGTGCATTAAAACAATTTCTTTTGGGTTTTTAGGACAAGTTAGGCTATGGGGCATATATGGGTATTAAGGGTAGGTTTAGTAGATCCCCTAGAAATAACATTAGAATTTTCCCTACTATATTAATATTTTTAGTATATTTTGCAATTGTATGTTTGTTTGGTGTGCCCTTTTGGGGTTTATTTTGTTTGTATGGGCTTATTGGGTTTGCTTGGGGTGTGGGTTAGCCTTGAAGAGCATGATGATGAAGCATAATGAAGACAAAGAGTTGAAGATCAAGTTCAAAGTTGATGAAGATGCTAGGTTTGCTTGAAGATTGATTGAAGATCATAGGACCTAGGAGCTAGGTAGAGCTTTAGAATAGAAAATTTCTTCATAAATATGGATGGTTTCTGTTGCCTCCATTCTTCTCTATGATTCAAAGTCTCTCTTTGATACTCACCTCCTTCCTTTGGAAGGATTAGTGACAGTATCTAGGAGATAGAACTTTTGAAAGAAACAGTCTGTATTTTGTTAACAGTCTGTATGCCACCTTTGGTGGTTAACTGACTGTTTAACATCCCAAATCATCTTGTGAACTATTACTCATCTAGGAGAGCTTGCTTTGAAGAATCCCTTGAAGATGGGAGATGAAGTCCCTTGCCTGGAAGACTGATAGAAGAAAGAGCTTGTGCTGTCAGGGTTTGCTGTTTAGAGTTGCTGATGATGTTTAGAGCTAGTGATGTATTGTTTGAGTTTCTTGACTGTATTGTTTGATAATTTTCCCCTTGAGGTTGAAGTGAAATTGTTTCACTTTGCCTGTTGTTTTCTAGGTTCGAGGGTGAGTGGGACTCCCTTGCCTCGCTTGTACTGCTGCATTCATGCATTTTACTGCTTTATTGTATATATGTTGTTGCTTTTCCGTTTATCCCCTTAGGATCTCTGTTTCTCTCTGTGCAAGAGAGAAATATGACAGACATTAGGCTCTCATCCATGCATGCCAATAGTAGGGTAGATTTTGATTCCCTTTTCAACCATAGGTCCTAGAGTTCTGTCTATTCTTTCTCAAAACAATCAGAAAAACACAATAAACATTTCAAACATCAATAAAAAACCGTTCTTGCGTAAAAGAATGTGAACCAATCAAAAACGTCATTTTTGTCCGCTTGGACCCATAATCAGGAAAACCTTTTTTCAGAAGGATAAAAACAATCAAGACAGACTTGTGTCGTACGTGGCCCGAACTACGTTTGCTCTGATCTTTCATGCTGTATGAAAGTACGTAGGCATAGGATGCGATATCCTAGCGAGCAACCTTCCCCTCCTTTCCCGTAGGTAGGCGAACTACGTTGACTCTGATTTCTCGTTCCAGACGAGAATACGTAGGCATAAAGTGCGATACTTTGCCGAGTCATTTTATATTCTTTTAACCCCAGACCTGTAGAATAGATAGAATAACAATTCGTACTAGAAAACAAGCGTGGATCCCGTCGAGTACGACGGA